GTGCGCCATGACCCAGAGGTCCGGGCTGCCCACCTGCCCAAGCTGCTTGGCCTGGTGCACCTGGATGCTGTGCCCAGGCCCTGCATGCAGCAGCTGCTGGCCACCGAGCCCCTGATCCGGGAGTCAGAGGCGTGTCAGGTCGCACTGTCCCAGGGCCACGATTCGGTGAGAAAAGGGCATGGAGCAGGGAGGGGAGCCCTGGAGACCCCACCTGCATGGGGACAGGAAGTACTGGGGGAAAATCCCTGAGGTGCCCCCAACCTTGCAAGCCTACCCGCTTTGGGTTGGTTACCTGTGCAGGCACCATCACTAGCCCAGGGGGGTAATGGGGGAAAGGGGGCCCAGAAGTGGTCATTCTGGAGTCCTGTACTGGAGGAGCCCACAGCTTGGGGGTGACAGACCTGGAGATAGACCTCAGGCAGCATAAGGCCAGCACCGGGCTGGGGAGGGGTGGGCAGTCAGGGAAGGCTCTCCGGAGAAGGCAGCACCTGAGCTGGGCCTTAGAGGGGGGAAACCAGTCCAGGATTATGCCACAGCTTGTGTGCAGGCCAGGGGGTACTGACAGGCATGGCAGCTGGCTGCCACCTGCCCCTTAGGAAGCTGCTCAAGCGTTAACAGGGTGCAGCTTCCTACTTGTACTGGCTGTGGGCCTGGCAGGCAGGGCAGTTCCTGATGAAGTGGCAGACCAGGGTGTGACCGAGACAAGGAGCCGACGAATCTGTCTGCCACTGGTCAGCCTACTGAGGGCCTTGCCCTGGAGGGCCCCTCAGAGCCACGTCTGGGGACAGAGGGGGCTCAGACCAGGGCCCCCCTGTACGGTGCAGAACACTGACCCGTGCCACTGTCAAGCACCGCCAGGCAAACAGGCTGACCGTGCCCTGCTTCTCTGAGCAGGGGGAGCCCTGTTCCAGCATTTCCTGCAGGCCAGGGCCCTCCTAGCTCATGGGCTCTGTGCTGGGCTCCTGGGGGACAGGGGGTGCTTATGTGGGGAGGTGGCGACAGAGTCTGGTGATTGGCCGCAGGAACGGGTGCAGGAAGGGCGTGTGATGGCCGCTGGGAGGGAGCAGCCCTCATGCTGGGTGCAGGCGCCCCTGCCGCCCCCAGCCCTCCCAGTCCTGGTCCTCAGCTGCCCTCTCGGCCCCACGGCAGCCACGGGTGGTGTACGTGTGCACATGCACAAACACACACGGGCGTGCTCATGGGCCCACAGCTGCCCCTGCTAATGTCCAGACCACTGCTTAATGTCTGGAAAATGCCACCGAGCCCGCCAGCACCCTGGGCCCCTCACACCAGGGAGCCAGC